AGGGTACGCTGGTATATATAAGAGGGGAAAACGTGACGCGGTAAGAGAGGTAATGTGTAGTCAGTGAGTAATTGAACTGCAGTCAGAGAGAGACATATTGTTGTAGTTAACGTTCGTTCGTTATTATAGTTTGTTATAACGCGATTGTTGAAGTTGAGTGTATCGTAGAGTTGTATTCGGAAAGAATAAACCAGTTTTATTAAGTAAAGACTTGTGTCGTTAAAGTTTCGTCGGAACGAAGTTACGGAAAGTTAATTAACAAACGGAGACGTAACAGCCGTAACAACTACGCTACAAAACGTTTGAGTTACTTTATGTTTTTTCTGTAAACAGTGACGGTTTATTACCACTATTAACCATAGATTTACAGCAGTCATATCAGTTTATTAAAAAGTTCACAGTAAAAAACGATTTACGTATAATAATTCAAAACACCATAATCATACTATTATTTGTCCTTGCATTTATTTGCTACTATTTTCGGTCATTAGTAAAATCTGTATTAATCAGTATCTTCTGCTATATATGCTTCTCATATATATTTTTGGCGTGAGTAACTGTTTGAAACCAACAATAATTTATGTATACTGCAAATGTATTATTACTGAAAATATGTTCTGCTTAATTCTGTGAGCTTAAATTTCCTAGAATTGTTAATTTTTTATACTTTATAACATTATTTTGTCGATTATCAATTACCTGATCAAAGGAAGCTTGTACTGTATTTCCCTTTCACAAATCGTTGTATCTAAACAAGCTTCAAACAACTTTCATATAATATCACAGTTATATGATAACTAGTCTTAATACGCATTAGAGCGTGAAAATTTAAATAAATTCAATTACCTAAATTGTTAGTAAAACAAAACCATACTACGGGTGAAGGAGACTCTTATAAGCCTTTAAAAAATGCCGAAATTAAACAATCAACAATGTGCTGTTGAACTTTTACTCGCAATTTAAGCAGTTGAAGCCTAGTCTTATTATATCAATTTGCCCTTTTCCAGGTTTATTGATGAAGTTTTCGAAACTGGTATAACTCAGTGACAAGTGGTAATTCGAATGATAGATTTGACTTCACATTTCGTTTTTAGATGAACAAAACAATGAGCGAAATGCATCCTCTATCGGTAATAAACGAAACATTACGTCATTTCCTTTCAATGCACTTATAATTTGTATGCAACGTGGTTTGTCTTGCTCAGGTTCGGAGTAGGAATAAATGTTTGTATTTTCTATCCATATGAGATGTGAATGTTTAAAAAGACTTATAACGTTCTGTTACATCTTTAAGAAATGGAGATAAAAATAACTTGCAGCTCAACAGAACCACCTGTGTGTGTGTTGTTGACCGGCGAATTTGTTAAGCCCGATATCAAGCTTAACGTGATTTGGGGAAAAACAACTGCATTAGACATCAAAAACGGAGTAACTTTCTGTTCGGTGACTTCAATATGTCGTTACCTAGCTCGTCTTGCACCACCTAAAGGTCTTTATGGTACAAACATCCTAGAAAAGACAGAAGTGGACCACTGGATGGAATTTTCTGTCAGACTGTGCTGTCCCAGTGAGTTTTCTCAATCCATTATATATTTAGATAAAATCTTGCTGGCACCAGTTACATATCTTGTCAGTCACTATGTTACTCTCGCTGACATAACTGTGTGGGGTACATTATATCTAAGTAATCAGTGGAAAAAAATGTTATCTCAAAGGACAGCTCCACAGAATATTTTTCGTTGGTACAACTTTATGTCTTCTTTGGAACCGTTTACTACAGTTACAAAATTGTTGTCGTCCGAAGCTAATATAGTATTGCTAAAGTCAGAACCTAAAAATGATGGATTACTGAAAGAGAAGGACAGAGATATAAAAGATGAAGGAAAGTTTGTTGATTTGCCTGGAGCAGAGAAAGGAAAAGTAGTGGTTCGTTTTCCTCCAGAAGCCAGTGGATATCTTCATATAGGTCATGCCAAAGCAGCACTTTTAAATCAATACTATCAACGTGCATTTCAAGGAAAATTGATATTGAGGTTTGATGATACAAATCCAGCCAAAGAAAAGGAAAATTTTGAAAAGGTTATTCTTGAGGATGTAGAAATGCTGTCCATAAAACCTGATGTCTTCTCTTATACTTCAGACTATTTTGATGTGCTTCTTCAGAAGTGTGAAGAATTAATCAAGTCTGAGAAAGCCTATGTTGATAATACTGATGGAGATACAATGAAAGCTGAAAGAGAGGTAAGAAAAGAGTCAAAAAATAGAAATAATTCTGCAAAAAAAAATTTGGAAATGTGGGAAGAAATGAAGAAGGGGACTGAATATGGTAAAAAATGTTGTGTAAGGGCCAAAATAAATATGGGTGCTGACAATGGATGTATGAGAGATCCTACTTTATATCGATGTAAGAAAGAAGTTCATCCTCGCTCTGGGTGCAAGTACAATGTATATCCTACTTATGATTTTGCATGCCCTATAGTAGACAGTATAGAAAATGTCACCCATGCTCTCAGGACAACCGAGTATCATGATCGTGATGAGCAGTATTTTTGGATTCTTGATGCTTTGGAAATGAGGAAACCTTATATTTATGACTATTCAAGATTAAACATGATGAATACAGTTCTATCTAAACGAAAATTAACATGGTTTGTTGACAAAAATATTGTTGATGGATGGGATGATCCTCGTATGCCTACTGTAAGAGGTGTTTTAAGATGTGGTATGACAGTAGAGGGTCTTAAGCAGTTTATTGTATCTCAAGGATCCTCTCGTTCAGTTGTAATGATGGACTGGGATAAAATCTGGGCTATTAATAAGAAAGTGATTGATCCTGTTGCTCCTCGGTTCACAGCTATTGAGAAAAATGATAAAGTTTCTGTCTTTGTGGATGGTGCAAAAGAAGAAAAACT